TGTCAGTTGAATGAAGGAATATATATATATGCATACCAGATTTTGGAGAGAAAAAAAATTGCTCATAAAAAAATACCGGGGCAGTTGCCCCCAGCTGGTTACGGCCATGCGCGAATATCGAAACGAGATTTTTAGTGTTGCAAGCCCTCAGATCCGCTGCAAAGCCACGTGTGTGTGGGTGAGACATTTATTTGTTTTCTTTAAAATTAAATTCCTTAACTGTGCAGTCCCATCCCCCAGTGGCTCAGTTACAAGTCTAAAGACTTATCACGCTCGAAACTGGATTTAGATATCCACGGTGGGTACAGCGCAGATAGCCTATTTGGTAATTTTGTGCTCAAACTCAAACAAATCTTCATTGTTCATAAAGAATGGGACAAAAGGTGGATTAAAACAGATCTTAAGACTAGAGGGGGCACTCAGTAGAGCGCATACCTCCGCCACGCAGCGTTGATTATATTCGGCCTTTAAAAATGTGTCCGGATGGCCATCGTTATCAACGGACACGGATCATTTTTGGCAGGACAATTAGGAATAATATTCTACATATGACCTCCAAGTTTCATCAAAATCCGATCATTTTTGACTAAGTTATAGAGCAAAAATAGTGCGAAAAATCGGTTTCCATGTTAATAATGGGGATTTTTATTTTCCTGACCCTGCTGTAGCCTTGACCCTCCAAAAACTAATAATTTCAAAGTTGGATCATAGTCCAAATGTATACCAACATTCGTCCAAATCCATTCAGCTATTTTCCAGAAATGTTGCTGACAACAAAAAAACACACACACACACATGGGGAGTGAAAAAATAAAGAATTTGACTTGTCGGTATAAACTTCCAGTGCATGTTTTTTGGTTTTTTTTCTGTCTACACGACGATTCTAGGGAGGAGGAGCAATAAATTGGAAATCAATGATTTATAAGCATAATGAAGTGATATATTTTTTGGGGAACGTGGTAACCACAATTTACGGATTTACAACGCTAAAACCCGGAGCTCGATTCTCAGCGGTGGATACAGAAAATAGCAGATGTGGCTTCTGTTCTAAAACAAACAAACCCTTGGCTGAACCGAAGCCAAAAACAAATATCAAAACTTTTTGAAGTGATACATCTATGTTGGTGTCTTTTTTTTTTTTTAGTTCTTTTCCAATTACTATTCTGCGAGACTTTCAGTAAGATGGGCAGCTGCTCCGCTACTCGCCCATCTGTCGTAGACTTAGCGTCAAATAAATGTAACAGTGTCAATTGGGGATTTCGCTTCGGCCTGGCTTGGAGTTTATACGTATTGTCTTCTGCTACATTATTTCGGTTTATAATAATTAATCGTGAAGTGAGCGACATTAAATCTCTCAAGTATTAGCTACACGCAGTCGATCATGATTAAGTCCATAAACTACTAGAAACATGCATAAAAATAAACTTTGGTGTTTAAAATAATAGAAATCTAATACAACATTGACTTGTTTATTTGATTCATGGCTGCGTAGCGTGTTTCAATACTTAACCATTCTACTACTGGGTGCAAATAAAACAAGTTATACAGAATTATATCCATTGCGCAAGTGTCAGGCGGCATGGATCGTAAAATGTGCTTGCCATAACTCTACACGTTGCCAACTCCTCGGGCTGTGTTTCGTGGTTGAGTTTATACATACGAGACAGATTAGTTGGCTGGAGAAGATAGAAAACGTACTATTCCACGACTTTATAAACTCTACCGAACTCATTGAAATCTCTTTGACACTCGTGGAAACGGTATGTTTCTGTCTCAAGATTGGTGAATTGACACGGTTTCAAACACTCCATTGCTTTACAGCGAGTTTACAAATGTGACAGTCAACCAGAGGCAATGTGTTTATGAGCTAGCCGTAAACGATAACGAAAGAGTGGACCAAGATTACTATAATTATGTTTGTAAGTGTTTCCGTGTTGTAATTGTTAAGTGTAATGTTCTTGTGTTATGTTATTTGTGTGTACACTTTAAATTACTAATGTTAGTTAGTTAAGCATGATGCAAGTGGGCTAATTTGGTATAAAGAGAGTAATGGTTAAAAACTAAGTTTCTGTCCAGAGACGTCGTCAGTGTCCGGGGGGGGGGGCAAAGCCCCCCCTTTCCACATCAGAGGAAAGGATAAATTACTTCGATTTTTGTAAACAAGTCCTTTTTTATTGAAAGAAAAAAAAAAGAAATTTTGATCAGGGCCCTATTGACTTAACAAGAATGCACTCTTGAGAAATGAGAAGTTTCAAGAAAATAGGGAGGGCTTATTTGTGCATTGTATATTTTGAACTGTATTTGTTACAATCATTAACTTTAGTTTATAATTTTACTCTGTATAGAGAACATGTAATAAAGATTAGCACAAAACTTCCAGATATAAGATATAACAGTGTCATGTGTCTGAGTTTTCCAGTTTTTGAAGTGAAAAACATGTATTAATTTACTAGTTTTATGTGTATTTTGCTAGAATAGTTTTTGTTGAGAAACATTCAGTTCCAGTTTATATGCTTGTGAAATTAAAAATGGATGTTTGCAAAACACAGACATTAGGCCTGCACCACATCCTTTACACTTTGTATGTATCAGTTCCTGCAGTACTCTTTACATCCTGTTCTGTCTTATCATAGAGTAGTTGTCAACCATCCTGACAAAATTCTAGCTAGCAGGAAGTGCCCCCCTCTTATTAGTAAGAAACAATTTGTTTTGTCAGTTAAACAATGATACAGGGTCAGGGGGTGTATCTTTTTTTTTTCACTCTTCAAATGTCTGAGTTTTTCCTACAGGTAGGTGAGAGTAAGGCATCTGTTTAACTTTCTCCTAATACATCTTATAAATGCTAGTAATGCAATGAATGTTAATCAAAATCATTCACTGGTTTTGCTTCAAGGCTTCAGGTTGTTTCTAATTTTATGTTAAAACAAATTTCTGGAAAATGTACCCAATTATGTCCCATTATTTTAAAGTTATTTGTTATTTTAATCATATGTGTAATGGCTTGTAATTGTAAGAAAAGTTATTTTATTGCACCTGTCATGATTGGTATTTTTTTTTGGTTGCTTTTTTTGTGTGTGTATAAGTAATATAAAGCAAATCTACCTGTTGACTTTCTTCATACCAATCATATCAGAAAATATTTGATATTATTTTGCTATCCCTAAAAATAACTAAATAATTACTTAATATCAATGATTGAAATATGTAAATGAAAATAGCCTAAGACAAGTACAATAATGAAGAGGTCAGTCAATGACCTTTGTGACTCCAAAGGTATCCTCGGATGAAATTCATTTCACGTATTGTAGAATATTTAATAAGAGTAAAACAAAACTATGTTGTTTACCTCTTTATGCTCATGTAGGTTTTCTCCCTTTGATTTCCATATTTTAACTTCATCCTCAAATTGTATTGCTTAGGTATTTTGATACATCATTAAGTACACATTGCAAACTAATATGGACACTCAGAATTGTGGATTCGATATTATAGTCAATAATGAGGAAATTCTCACATTTTTCAGTAGTAGATTCCATGTTTTTTGTTTCAAAAATGACACTGTAAAAGGTCAAAATATTTATATAGAATCATAATGTACAAATTCTCTGAAAAGTAGGCAAACTTGCAAGAATGACTGATAATATTTTGTTTTTCATGTAAGTTTTTTTTTATCATAACAGCACCATCTGTGGGCAAAAAGTAAATGTCTGCCATTTTATTTCTGCTGACCCCATTAACCTGAAGTCTTGTAAAAATAACAAATCAAACTTTGTCTATGTATTTCAAAATAAACCACATGAATACTAATTTTGATACTGACCTTTTGTCACTGATCTTCCATTCCTCATCTTTTTTGTTTTTTGAGTAATTTATTTTGATCAATTTCAGCTAATCATCTAGCCCCTATTGATAGATGTTCAGTAAATTTATTCAAAGTAATTGTTGATTAACAAGTAAGTTTGAATATGAATTTTAAAAGTTTTAAAAAATTTAGCAAAAAGCTGAGGTCTTACTACCTATTAAATGAAAGCTATGAAAATGACAAGCTGAACTCTGAAAATTTAAAAATATTATGTACTGCTGCTTTAAAACAATTTAAAAGTGAATTGGTATTGCTAAGAAATCTACACACAGGTATAATTATAATATTTAATGGATCAATAAGATTACTTGTAAGTAAATTTGATTGTTTACTGTATTTTGTAGGATTTCACAAAATGTCATACAGTTTTCATGAATCTACTGAGGCTTGTTTCTTCAGTGGTTTTTTGATTTATTAATCCAAAATTTTTGTTGTTACAATTAGTTTCTTTTTTGGAGGGGTGGGGGGGAGTGTCTCCTAGTGTCGATAGGTTACTTTAAAACTGTTAATAATGTAAAACCAGTAGTTACAGAGAAAGTTATCAAAGTATTTATTTGGTCAATAGAGTAGTGTATTCAAAATTTCCCACAGAAAAATCCACAAGTTATTTGGTTTTTCAGTTTATCTCATCAACCTGACAAGGAAGTCTTAATTTTGTTAAAGCTGTAAATATTATTATTTTGGTTTTTCTCTTTTTTTAATCCTGAAAAAGAAAAGAAAAATTCTTTCAAAAACACAAGTCTTTTAGACATTTTGTTTTTCCTGTAATTATGTATAGCTGTATTTGGTGCTGTAAACATATGATGTAGTTAAAATAGATAAGTGTTGAGTTCACAAAAATGGCAACCAGTTCTTCTTTTTTACTTTTTAATTAATATCTGAATTCAATAGTTCATGAAAGAGAAAACTCGTTGTTTTTTTTTAAACTACTTTTTCCTGCCAGAATTGTGTAATTGTTTATTTTATGACGCTTAAACATTTTGGGGCCAAGTAACATAGTAAGTTGAATTATAAACAATTAAACAAAAAAGCAATATTCAGCTAAATACTCCTAAGATGCTAGCCTGCTTGTACTTTACATGTCATTGAATAGCACAAGTATTTTGAAATGTGTTATTAATTTCTTTTTATTCTACAGGTAGGGTGTTGAGAAGGCAGAGGACCCTGAGGAGAGAGTATCACCAGTCTTCAAGCCTGATCAGCACCCATTCGAGAGCTTTGTCTTGTCACAGTAGATCTTAAGAGACAAAGAAGAAAATGGGTTATTTGATATAACTCATAAGTTTAAGGGTCATTTATCATCTACTAAAAATAAATAAGACGTTTCCATACAGGAAGAGCTGCTGTAAACAATACCATGACCATGGGCTAATACAATTTCAATGTTGTGGGGACCAAGAAAGTCCTAATCATGAACTGCAAACTTCAGTTCAGTTGGACCAAATTCTGTGTAAATCTGTGTATTCTCCTCATTTGGGTTGATGTTGGCAAAGCCTGCTGGCGAAAGACTCCTCAAAGCATTGGATGTAAGTTTTTAAAAATATGTATATATTTTGTGATAGGCATGCTTTTCTGTGTATGACATAAACTACAGTAGATTATACTTAAATGAGATGAATGAATGGTTTCTAATTATATCCAATGCTATTAAAAATATGTTTTAGTTTTAACAGAAAGGAGTATATAAAATAACTTTCACATGTGTGGCTTGAACGTATTATTTATTGTAATAGGCATACTTTTCTGTGTATGACATAAACTACAGTAGATTATACTTAAATGAGATGAATGAATGGTTTCTAATTATATCCAATGCTATTAAAAATATGTTTTAGTTTTAACAGAAAGGAGTATATAAAATAACTTTCACATGAGTGGCTTGAACGTATTATTTATTGTACCGTTAGATTGTACACCACTCTTCAACTTAAAAGTGGATTCTAGTTTGAAAACCATAATAAATATCATGACTGGTTAAGTACTTTTAACTAGTAATTGAATTATTGTGTTTTCATGATATTGTTAAAACATTATATTATTATAACATATGGAAATGAACAAGTTTAATAAGAACAAATGCATTCATGTTATATATTTAACTTCCCCACACTGCTGTAATTGCACATTGTAAATCATGAGGCATGAAGGATGCTTCCCAGTAGAATTGAAAGTTCTCTGTTTGGGAGTTGATCTAAGAGGTTCTAAACATGAACTGACTGTTACCATAAGTTAACGATCTGCATAGTTCAATATTTTTTAGATTGTGAGTTTTTAATATGAGCACCTTCTACTTTCTGAGAAATTATACAGTTAATGCTCATGTAGATGATCTACAGAATCTCTTTTATACCAAGCTCAGCTCTCATGCAACTAAGAACCCATCTCTTAACTTCATTAATACTCTTCTGCTGCTTACTGCACTGGAACAGTCAGTATTATTAAATGCTCTCCAAAATTACTAAAGGCAAATTAAATTAAGGGTATAAAATCATCATTTTTTTAAAAATAAAAAAACAACAGTTCAACATAAACAATTTGTTTTATTTTAAAGCCTAAAGTTTTCAACTCATCATGCAGTATTTACTTCATTAGGGTGAATTATGAGCATGATGTGTTTGTTTTTCACCACCAGCTTTTGCCAGTTTATATATGATTTTTTTTGTGCCCACCCATAATACAAAATTGAGTTTTGATACTTGAAAAATGGTTCAGTAGATAGTATTTTATATCAAAATAAAAGGATCTTTTTTCAAATTTTAGAAGTTAATTAAAAAACTGTCTCTGAGCAGAAGCAATAAAGCAAGTAGCTGCATATGCAACAAAGAGCTGAACATGGTTGTGATACAAAAATTATAGTTGACATAAATAACAACAATGGAAAATGTACAAGTTTTTTATGGCCTTCACTGGCCTTGGGAAGAGTCAGAGGATCATCATATGATAATATCCATATAATTTTGTCAAAAGAAAAGGCGTAATTACTTCTTGTTGGCAACTAGAAAATATTAAGTTAATAATATTAATCTTTATTCACATATTCTATCACACAATCTTTAGCTTATCTAACATTTGAGTGAAAAAATGATCCATTTACTTCTTGTTGGCAACTAGAAAATATTAAGTTAATAATATTAATCTTTATTCACATATTCTATCACACAATCTTTAGCTTATCTAACATTTGAGTGAAAAAATGATCCAGCAGAAATTTTTAGGATAAGTCAACAAAACATTTATTTTCTCTTCTTAAGATGCTGCTAAACAAAAAAAAAACACATTAAATATTGTCAAATTACTATACTTAATAACCTGTGTGATACTTTTGACTTGCATTAATTTTGTGTATTGTTGAAAAGTGTGTTTGAGATATATATATATATCATACATACATACATATATATGACATAAACCCCAGTCACTGAAGTTGTGTGTTTATATATTTATTAAATATTTTGTTGAAACACCAAAAAAATAAAGCTTAAAACCATAAGTTAAAATTGTTAAAATCAAAACCAATAGCCTAAGATCTAGCATATACGTTGTCACTGTCAAGTGTCTTCTTTTATGGCTCAGTTACACATATGAAGACTTATATAAATGTATTATGTTTAGGTTTGTAGCTACTTCACACAAAGAAATATCCTGCTGACATAAATATCTAAAATTGTCATTTTTGTGCATTTTTTTACATGTTTTGTACATTAGTTCAGTCTGTAATATGGTAAGCTCTCTGTTGAAATACTGGCTCATGGACTCTGTTTACATATTTACAGAATTCTGCTATACTTTGTGTAAGCATTCTTTGACTGTAAAAGCATTGTACTACATAGGCAATAAATTTAACAAATTATTGTTCACTTTTATAAATAATATTACTTAATTTGTGGCAGAATGTGCATTAATACTTTTATATTTATGGTTTTTCTCATATAACTTTTGTATTACCTTTTTTACATCAAAGGTAATTCACAGAAACTGTAGAATGAAGTGTTTTAATAAAAGAAAATTATTGATTTATTTTATTTGAAAGAATTTATTGATTAAAAACCTTTATTATAATATATATATAAAATTTATGGACAACAAAGCCATCCCATCATTCAAAATTAACTATTTAAAAAATCTCAAAGCCAGCCTTTAGTGTTCAAATATTTATCAAATCTTCATTTGAATGCTCTTAAATTTAATGCTTCACTTGGAGGCAACTCATTCCAAAGGCCAACAATTCTATCAAAAAATATCATCTCATACAATTTTTAGTTAATTTTTTTTATTGTTTAGCTGACAGAAAAATATCCTTTGTCATTTGTTGCTGATATATATATATCACAGAAAAAAAAACATTTTTATTAAGATAGATAGATATTATCATAAACAAGGCCTATAATAAGAAAAATGCTAAACACTTTTTAAACATATTACTGGCTAAGAGAAAGATATTACTGGTTTTTTTTTCATTTAGAACTCTTAATAAAAGATATCTATGTGCTACAACCATTTTTAAATTGATAGAACTAAAAACTATACCTATCTGATATCAGCATTAATTTATGTCATACAAATCTATTACATCAACTTTTATTATAAATAAGTGCCCAATTAGATCCAACCAGAAAGTGTGAATACATTTATTTTCTTTTAATTACCAAAATTTTCTTGTTCATAGTTGTACTTGATTACATACATCATTACCTTTATTTGATCAGTCTACTAAAGAAAATATTGTTTTTGTTTTCTAAGGTATAAGACTCACTAGAAAATCAAAAGAAATATAATAAAATAATATCAGTAGTTCTGAGAAATCTTACAGATTGTAGATGTTTTTTACTTAACTCTTCACAATTTGCTTACATTGTTAAAATGGTGTTTCCTCAACAGAAGCTCTACTCCTCCAACAAAGGTTCATTCAACATTGATTCTTCACACCACCCAGTTGACAAAACTCCTACTCTACTGTAAATTTTTGTTAATGATGGGTGGTGGTGGTGTATGTTGTTTCCTTAACTGGGCAAGCCACATTTTTCTTAGGCTATACTGAGCTTATGTCACCATAATGATGTACAAACAATATAATTATGTGTATCTGTGTGTGTGTGTGGTGGGTGGTGGAATGTGTGTGTATGTGTGTTTAAATTCATGTACATACATATAAGTAGATAGGTGAAAAAGCAATTGCCAGAAAGAATCAGAATGACTTGAGTCATTTAACATGAATTGTATTTGTAGAACAAGTATGTTTTGGCAATCTGGAATCATATGCTTGATAATTACAAAGTTTTTACTTTTTGACACCAAAAGTACTTCATAAAAGTAACTGTTCTGGACCTCATGCACAAGAATATTCAGAGGATACTTAATAACTCTTTAAAAATGAAAGATCCTGTTGTTGCTTTCACATTTTAAAAACATACTTTAACTTTGGTTCTGTAATATGTTGGTTTTCAATTGTGTTAAAAGACGAACTTGTTAAACTTCTACATAAAGTTTTCCTACAGGTTATATGTAGATGTGTTTTCAAAAGTCAGCTCAGAATTCAGTGTTTTCTTTCCTGTAAAGAGAAAGTTTCTAGGCTACTACCATTGCTTGTCCTTTGTGTTATATGTTTCTGAAAATAATTTGTGGACTTGTAGCAATGTCTTTTTGTATAAAGGCTTGTAAGTCTTTGCACAAAGCAAAATGTTAGTCTCAAGTTTGAAAAGAACATTTTGTATTTCCTTTTTCAGCTTTCACTGAGGAAAGCTTACATTAAGCTCTTGAAGTTAAAATGTTACTGCCCAGCTATCAGTATGCAAGAGCACTCTTGTAATACAACTAGTTATTAATTCTCATGATCATCTTTATAATAATTTAGTCATAATCTTTTAACTTAAAGCAGAAATTAATGCATTTCAAATATATTTTGTTTATATTGAAGGCACAGAGTATCATGTATGCAGTTCTTACAGAAAACTCTAATTATTAAAATGGAATTAAAATATTATTATTTTTTATAATCTCAAATTGAATTAGTATTATACTACTAATTACATCTAACATTTAATATTGAATCATTTAACTTTCCAGATGTGACAAGTGACTACTCTGTAGAAGTTGGGTCTACTATTGTCCTTAACTGTACTCTATACGAACAAGAAATTACTCTAACAAACAAGGAACATGCAAGTAAGACATATTTTGTTAACTCTACAAACTTGGAGTTTCGCTTCAACCATTCTTTGGTTTCTCGTAATTACATCCACATCTTGAATGGTTTCACCGCACAGCTTCGAATTCACAATGCCAGTCTTGAAAACTCTGGAAGATACTTTTGTAACTTGAAGCTTCCTGAGAGAAATGAAACAAAGGAGTTGACTTTCTGCTTGAGTATTGTCACTGTTGGATGTGAGTTACATTATCATTATTCAATTTCATCTCCTTTTAAGTTTTGCTGTATATTTCTCATTTAACTATAATTTTTTTATTGCATGTTATTTACTGATATGTTTTTGAGTTTTAAAATGGTGCATGAATTGTTTTAACTTAAAAGTAAATAATATACAGTAGTACATGTAAATTGTTATGAAATTCCTATAATATAGCTTATTTCTCACTAAAAACAAAATGTGTTTAATAAAGTTCCTGTTAATTTATCAGAAACATCTTGATGTTTTGTGCAGTATTTTTAAATGTTTTTTGTATTTTCTGAAGTGTGTTACATAATAATTGTAATAACAAATTTTATCCTTATTTTTACTTATAGTATTTTCATATTAAAATTATTTGTATATATAAAAAACAAAAATATTTTTGATTTTACCTGTTTGTGAATGTGAAGTGTTAATTTAGTAATATATATAGATATATATGTATATATATATACATCTTTGGTGAAATAAATAACTTGTTTTAATTTTTCTATTTGTGTGATGATAGTTCCTCCTACTCAAATTAATATCTTGATTTAGTTTTATTTTTAATTTACAGATAAACCACGTAAAGTTGAAGAAAAAACTTTTCTTGTTTAATTGAAAATTTTGAGAAATTGACTTGTTGTTGGTCACCTCCATATAATCCTGTTGAAACACACTATGCTTTGCAAAATCATATTTTAATAAGGTAAGTTTTTGAAAGAAAAATTATTTCGATTAAATATCTTAAACTTTGTATTTGTGAATGGTATGTTATCTATAATTGAATATACCAGAGGAATCCTATTTCAGGGTATATTATTCTGTTTTTATAAAGTTCCAAAGTTTTTTTATATACCGTGTTTTTCGGAATATAAGATGCACCCTTATTTTGAAGACAAAGTTTTGGGGGGAAAAAGCTACAGTCGCATTTGAAAGATTTTTATTGAACAAAAATTCAATTTGATACTTTAAAAATTAGTATATTGTTATGTCTCTGGTTGTTTGTTAATTTCCCGTAAAAATTATTTTCGAAGAAGTTCAGAGATGCAAGTCCTTTCTTAAATAAAACTAGTTTATTCTTTCTCAATACAATTTTGCAATACACTTAATTTCCACAGTCACTTTAACTAAAACATACGCTATAATTCACAATGATTCACGCACTTTACTTACGACTTGGCTCGATTATCTGTCTCTATATCTCCCTGTCTGCTATTCTTATCTCCACTTTATTTGCCGGGCTTATATATTGAAGTAGAGGGTGTCTGGCAAACACTCGATCCTTCATGATTGTTCTAGAAACTCATCACATGTTACCATCTCCAATTTTCTTCTGCTGTCGTAACAATATATTGTT